ATGATTTGATAATATAACTATAATATATTCTTAATATATAATAATATGAGATACGAATTTACATAATACTATGGATTTATCTCTTAATGTTAAGATATTGAATTAGGTAATATATGATTCACTAATTTGTAATCTGTCTCTTTTTATATTGAAAATAATCATGTGATTGAGTAGAGATAACAATTATCTATAAATTCCTTCATTTAAGGAATAGTTTTTAAATTGGTCCAAGTGTTGAATGCAGCCCGATTTTCTTGTAACTAAAATGAGAAGAGATTTTGAATTTCAAAATTTCACTTCAAAACCACACGTAAATTTGGATACATGAATTCAACAAAACCCATAATTTTAGGGGCATTTAATGCTACCCTATTTTATGATTTAAAATATCTAAAACTTTCTAAATATAATGTGCAATTAATTATGAGTTGACTTTTCTTCCTGTTAATTCTAGTAAATAAGATGGCTTTTTATATAAGTATAGATTGAATGAACATCTATCATTATATTAAAAGATTAACCATTTAACACTTTTAGCAAGTTTTTCCCGCCAAATACATTTAATGTCTCCTAAAAATAGAGCAGCATTAAATGTTGCCCTTAAATCATGGCAGTTGTTAATTTAGTTTGGAGAAAATCGTGGCAACTAAAACAAACAACATTAATTACGGCTGATTTAATATTTAAATGGTAAACAAATATTACTTTTTTTATAACTGATTTAAATTTACATCTGTTTAAAAGTAAAAAAATTATTTTTGTAATTTCAACAAATTTGTACTCTTTAATGTATGGCTGATTTAAAATTAAGAATTTACTTTTGTATTTTCACAAAAAATCGTATAAAGAAGTATGGCTGGAATAATAATAAAAAATTAATTTGTTAAATTATATTTTGCATCCATAGATACAAATTCTCATCAAATTCAAGATTTAAAATTGTGAAGAATGTATATAGATGTGGACTGATTGAAGATATATGATTCCTTAAATTAAGAATTTCTTTCCGGTAAAAAAAAAATGTAAACTTTAAATATAGATTTTATTAGTAGTGTATACCAAAGAATATTGTTACATTTAAAATTCCTATGAAGAAGAATTCTACTAATTTTCAAATTCAACATCTCATAAAAATAATATAATACACTTTTACGTTATATGAAACAATATTTAAAATCCACCGTTCAACATGCATAAAATGTAAAATTACCTAACATGAATCATTTTAACTTTCTAAAATCAGTACACAATTCGCTCGGTATGTACTAATAATCTAATAGTTAAGAGTTAATATTTTCTATGACATCTATTGGTTGGAAAGAATTCCATTTTGTATGGAGTTCGAAATGAAAAAACATATTCTGAAAATCAAATCTGGTTTAGAGATCGATTTCTTAATGGCCTTAAATTATGCAAATATATTGTTTCAGTTTTTAAGATTCTTTTTTATGATCTCAGTCTTTGCATTATATGAAATCTATACTTATATAAAAAGTCATCCTATTTACTAGAAATAGTAGGCAGAAAAGTCAAAGGTAATTAATGCTTGCTGAAAATAAAATGATACTAATTACATATTTGTTTTGGTATTTATAGGCTTGACATTAAAGATTTGTTATGGGATAAAAATCAGAACCGATTTTTTTACCTTTTCTGGAAAAGTCAAAGGTAAGTATAGATTTGTTTTATCCCACGGCATCGGTTTAGTTAAGAAAATCCCATCAAATCAGTTTCATATGTCAAGCCTATGAATAAAGATTTAATCGGTCAAAATTAAATCCTTATTTTACGTCATCCATAAATAAAGTAGATGTCAAGTCTAAATTGAAAAGTTTAGTTTTCTATATAGTCATTGATTTACGTAAACACATCTAATGTTTAAAGTTTGTGTAGATTGAAAATTTCTTCTTATCTTTTTACAAAAAATCTTATTATTATTGTATGGAAAATCAAACTCATAATGTTGTGTACAAGGTGGTCTTTAATAATATATGATTGTTTGTTTGTCGAATACTATCTTATTGTATAATTTTCTTGCGTATTATAAAACTTTTATTGAATATTGCATCTTATAATATAGTATTCCTCAAATAAATATATCCCGTGCCTCGCACGGGTCACGTACTATATATATCCCGCACATTTTTCTGTATTCATGTATATAATTATAAGTCTGGATAAATAGCCTTAAAATTGTGCACCCCGTGCATCGCACGGGTTCTGTATTAATCTTTTCAAAATCTGTACCCGAATTTACTTTATTAGAACTTACGAATAAAATATATCAGGAGTTATTATATAATTGACTCACAATTGGTATATAGATAATCAAATATAATTGTCATTAAAGCATATTATACAATCTATTATATTCTTGCAATTATATTTCTTAAATAGCATGATTTTTTTAATCTAGAGTCAATTATGGTAATACTTCTTAAATAACATGTTTTTTTAATATACAGTCAATTATGGTAATTATATTGTAATTCTATTAATGATAAAATCAACCATATTCGTTGGATGAAAATTTCATTATAAATACACATGATTCTAANTCGTGCTAGTTAAAAGTCGCAATGCAAATAACTAAATTTCTACTTGTTTATCTCGTGGCGATTGCTTTCTTCAGTGCATCCACAACAGGTATTGTTGTTATGATTTATATTATTATTCATAATTCCATCTTCATCATATTTTCTTAATAAAAATTATATTACTTTTACCAAATGTTTTCAATTTCGGCCTGGTTCATGATTGTCCCTGGAATTGAGTAATTAATTTTATAATAATTCTATATATATACATAATTATTATTTTAAAAAGGTTAAAAAATATATAATGGTTTGGCCAAATCGGGTTGACATTCACCCGCCTGCACTGCAGGGTCTAAATTAAGAGAAAAAAAACTAAGCCTTTTAATGTAAATCATCAAATTATTCAACAAAAATACCAATTTTTAAATTTTGTTAGTTGAACTACAATCGATAGTGATGCCTATTTTTATTTTTATATATTGATTTGTTAAACAGGTGAAAAGGTGGCAAGGGCAGTGAACCCGTTTTGCCTTGAAGTTTGCTCATCTAAATTTGGACCAAAACAGTGTATGGGGCTGTGTATTAGAAGTAATTACAATGGCGGTGAATGCTATCAAGCAGATCCAGGCTCTTCAGAAGTTCTCTGTTGTTGCGAACCAGGGGCCTGATTGCAAATAATATCACACCGCACAATTAAAATAAATAAACTTAATTATTTGTTAGTTGAATATATTTTTTTTTTCATCCGTGTTTCTTCTCATATGTCGGTCAGTAGTTTTTTTTTTTAAATAAAATTACGTATTAACATTATGAAATTTTGTATTTTTATTTATGCTATTTGTAAAAATTGATAGGATTATACGATAGCATAATAATGAGCCATGTAAAATGACAGAAATTCTATGGCGCCCATATGGGCACCATATGGTACCATAATCTTCACGATCTAACGCTTTATATTCATTGTGCAATTGATAGAATGTATATTAGGCGTTGGATCGTGAGATTATGGAAAATGGTGCTCAACTTGTGAAAAGAATAAGAACTCAATGCTGGAGTTCGGCTCGAAATTTTAACAACTAAACCTTAAATATAAGGGTACCTATTTTAAATCTAACTAGTGTGTACCCCGTACGATGCACGAGAACAATATTAAATTAACAATATTATAAATAGACCTCGAGTTTGAGTCACTCAATGGCGGAAGTGGAAACTACTATTGATCTTATTTAAAAATAGGAAGAAAAAATAATAATTATAAATTAAAGAGGAGGATAAACAATACTTAATAATTATAAATTAAAGATTCGGTAAAATTATTATGTATAAGAGAATATAAAAAAATTTGATTACATACCATTTCAAAATTATTATTATACTTTTTTGTATGATTAGCTTATAATATTTGTAAAAATATTAGTAATTAGACTGATGAAAATTAGCTTCTTAAAGTAGATATTACAATATTTGTGAAAATATTAGTAATTAGACGATGAAAATTAGCTTATTAAAGTAGATAATGGATTTCTAGTAGTAATTATGAATTGGTTTCTATTTTATTTTATTTTTTCTTTTTAACGGATTTCTAATAGTAATTATGAATTGGTTTCTATTTTATTTTATTTTTCAACCTGTATAGATAAGGGATGAGAGGATTTTGTAACAGAAGAGATAAACTCTTGTAGATTTATACTAAAATAAGAAAAAGAAAAACAAATATTTATTGTCAAACAACGATTTTGATAAACTAAAAATCAGGAAAAAAAGAAACAAATTTTTACACAATTAATGAGCCAATTTATTTGCCTATTCAAATTTGTCCAACAATTACTATATGTAGGATATATTTAATGATTTTGGCGGGAAAATGTTTCTAAATTTATAAAAAGGTTATTCTTTTTATATAATGATAGAATAAACAATTTTGCTATGATGTTCTAATATTGATAATTACATCATATAAATTATTTATATGTATAAAAGGTCAAAATTTTAACAACTAAACCTTAAATATAAAGGTACCTTTTTTAAATCTAAATAGACAATTTTACTATGATGATCTAATATTGATAATTACACTATATGAATTATTTATATATATAAAAGGTCAAGCGGCTCGTATAGCTTACGAGGCTTTTGAAATGATACTCGAGGCTCGACTTGTTTGCTTAATTGAACTACTCTAGCTCGAGTTTAATTGAGCTCGAGTTTGACTCAAACACTCCCGACGCTTGCTAGCAGTAAAAAAATGCATATGATCCATAAAACCCAAAATGTCCACTCTTGTAAGAACTAAGAACACAAACAAATCAAAGAATGTATATCATATCATTGTGTTTATATCACCACCACTCAACAACAATGGTAGTCCCGAGTAAAAACACTTCAACCCCAAGTGTTAATCTAAACTTCCAACAGTGATGACCCCAGAAAAATGAAAGGAAAAAAATATTAGAAATTAAAAAAAAAAAAATTGGAAAAAAAAAACTCATCCTATAATCAAGGAAACTGAAACGATCCCCCGATCTGATTCGTCCCGTCCGGCGGATTAATCGCCACCCACAAAAGCGAGATAATAATCGAGATAAGTCCCGACCAAACAAAAACGATAGTCGGCGTTCTCCCTCGTCTCCCCATCAGCCCCTTCGCGAACGGGTACAAATGAGCCAAAACCCAAAAGCTGAAGAAAACTCCTCCCAACAAACGGCTCCACTGCGGTATCACGCTGTATATCGTTCGGCTCAGCCCCACAGCAATCGCTATCACGTTCACCATTATAATAACAATCGGCGGTATCATCAGTGAAGTCCACTTCACAATGTACAGGTCAGCAAACTCGTCATCATCATCTTCCCCTCCTGATTTCGAAGTCAGCGTGAACGAAATTTCGACACCTGCCACGATTTTAAGCAGTCCTTGAAAAACGGCCGCCAAATGCGCGCTCGTGCCCCCGATTAACCAAAACTGCTCGTTTCTCCACCATTCCTCGAGCTCGATACCCGACCATTTGACCTCGAGTATTGCCAGCGCGCATAGAGTGACTGTAATGGTTAGTAGGTAGATCAAGAACGTGACGTTCAGCGTCTGCACGATGAACTGCCCGGAAAAAAGCGATAAAGCAGGGAGAAAACAGTAGACGATGAGAAAAACAGAGGTAAAAGGGTAAATCCCGACGTTCAGGTACGCGACCCGTTGAAGGACCTTCATTCGCGAGCTGGCGAGAAAAGCGTTGTTTCGTGAGAAAAATATCTCGACCGAGCCCGTGGCCCACCGGAGCACCTGGTGGAGCCGATCGGTTAGGTTAATCGGCGCGGTTCCTCGGAAAGCGTCTCGTTTGGTGACGCAGTAAACCGAGCGCCAGCCTCGATTGTGCATTCTGTAGCCCGTGACGACGTCTTCCGTAACCGACCCGTAAATCCACCCGACCCGTTGGCCCCACTCGGTTTTCTCCTCGTACCACGACGAAATTACGCTTATAGCCTCGGCCACGGTGGGCGCGTCGAGCGGGTCCCGCGGGACGGTTAGGGCGCCCGGCGGCCGCCCGTTTTTCACCGACGGGTGGTCGGCGAGCGGGCGTCCCCCAAACTCGGCCACCGGGATCGAGTCGATAAGGAGGCTCGAGTTTCCGAACATTTTCGGGGCGATCGAGAGGTTGCCGGAAAACGAGAACTCGTCGTCGTCCGAGATCCTCAACGCCTTGTTCTCCTCGTCCGAGTTTCCGGCGGGCCCGGTTCGAGTTTTCTGGCGGCCGGAGAAGCACATGGAGAGGAAACCCGGGCTGTGTTCTTTAGAGCGGGGCGGGTCGAACCCGTATAGGGCGACCCGGCGGAAGAGGCAACCCGTTCCCACGTAAACCGGGCCTTGAAGCCCGTCGAGGGCCCGCATGTTGCCGTCGAAGAAGACGGTGTTGCGGTTGGCGTATCGGTCGGAAGGGTCGATTCCTTCGAAGCGTTGGGGGAATTGGACGTAGCAAATGCGGTCTCCTCCGCGGTCCATCATGAAGCACATGCCTTCGCGCATGGCTTGCGAGTTATAGATGTAATGGTCGCAATCGAGGTTGAGGATGAAAGGCCCGTTCGACATGATGGCCGAGGCCCGGACGAGGGCGTTCATGGCTCCGGCTTTCTTGTTGTGGTCGTAGCCCGAGCGCTTCTCGCGGGACACGTAAACGAGCATGGGTAAGCGGATGTCGACGCTCGTCAGGTCCATCGTGCGGGGCTCCTCGGACGAGCTGCCGCACAGGGGCTCGTCGCTTGGGGGCTTCAGCATAACCTGTTTTTCAATTTACCAAATAAAAGAAATTCAATCTCAACCTAACCCAACCCAACCATCCGCAGTATTATCAGTATAATTAAATAATATCAATCAATCGATCAATCAACCATCCTTACAATTTTAATTCATTATTCACTCACTCGCATAATTTTAACTACCGATCACATCCCACAATTTTTCTCCTACTTTTACATAACTTTAATCATTTCATTTTAAATATTATTTTAATATTCCTCTAAAAACTAACCAAATTATATTTTTTTTTTCAAAATTAACCATGGTTAACCAGAAAAACCAAGTTTATTTGTATAAACAAGCCAGAGACATGTAGTTGAAATTTCCTATTTTACACAGCATATTTAGTTATTTACCTGTATTATCCCAGCATGATCGCCTTTCGAGTGATCGGCCGACGGACTCAACCAAGTCCCGGGCCAATGTGTCCCGTCAGCCATCCAAGTCGCCTTCGTAATCTTCACCGCCTCCTCAATCGGCTCATCCTCTTTTATCTGCCGCCTTTGTTCCTTCATTGCCCTAAGCTCCTCTCTCGCATGGTACGCGTCTGATCGCCGTCTAATCGACTCGGGCAGCCCATTAATCCGAACCTTAAACTCATCATACTCTCTCTTCACCCTTCTCCTGTCCTTAACAAAATCCTTAAGAACCTTGTTCTTGTACGGATCCTTCTTCAGATTAAAATAGCTCTCGGGATTCCTCGGCTCGATTCCGTGCTTGCGGCAGAACGGGACCCACAGGTTCGCGAAGCTGGCGGCCTCTGCCATGGCCTCAAATGTCAAAAGTGCCCCTCCATCATCCGAAACATAACAAGCTAACTTCTCGACAGGATAATCGGCTGCCAGTATGGAAAGTATGGTGTTGGCTGTGACGAGTGGGGGCTCCTTTTCGGGATCGGCTGTCGAGACAAACACGTCTATGCCCGGGAGATCGGATTTTCCGGAGGGGTTGTTTGGGGTTGGGGTCTCGAATTTTTCCTTGAGTACGTTGAGGTCAGTGGCACGGTTTACGGGGCAGAGTTTTGGGAGCTGATCGAGTATCCATGAGAATGTGAACCAGACTTCACACACGACGGACATTCCCCAAAGCCAAATGGCGTCGTTGTTTTTGTGCCGGATTCTCCATGTGAGGAAGAAGCCGAGGACTACCATTCGGACCACGATTAGAAGCCTGCAATTAAAGCAAAACAAAAAATGACATACAGCAACACAGCATAGGGCATGGGAATTCTCATTGTGTCTTATATTTATGTGTTCCAAGGATGTCTAGATACTAAAACTAGCCATGATGTTTTGGATATTTACAAGAAGACACAAAGAACTACATAAAGGTCCCAGGGGTTTTTATTCTGTAAGACAATTAGTCTCGTCCATAAGCAAAAGCATTTCAGAGTCAAGTTCATGTTTTAAGAATGAAACAAAGCTCAACGACGTCTTTTTCCGAAATTTCTAATATCCAGGGTTCTTTCAATAATTACCCCAAACATCCCGGATAGCTTTTATAGTTAAACCGCATCTTGTAACAAGATAATTCACAAAAAAATGGATTCAAAACACTTCTTGAATGAATAATATCCAAACACTTTTGTACCGGTAAGGACTAATGATGGCTGCCGGAATCTTGAGCTTCCGAGTAAGCGGCCTCCACGGCTTGCTGATAAATCCCGGCGACTCAGCATCAACACCACCACCACGACCATCATTAACCTCATTACCATCCTTCTCCTTGGGCCAAATAGCATTCCCATAACCATAAGTCCCCTTAGTCTCGAAAAGCCACCGATTATGATCGAAATCCACTCCCGTCCCACTCCTCATCAGTCCCGACTTGCTCGACCTCATTATCGACAGCCTCCTCTCGACCCTCGACGAACCCCCCACCTGTGGGCCCGGCAGCTGGGGCAACGACGACCCAACCCACCCATCCATGACTTCATTCGGGTCAGTTGTCTTGTACTCCTCCTTACATCCCGGGCAAATCCCATCGCCCGTTTTCAGCACGTCGAGATAGCAATCCCGACATATTTTGAAATCGCACTCGCAGGGGAGGATATCGTTACCCCTCTCGTCACTCATCACTTTCCCGTCACAACCGTTGACCGCGCAAGACGAGCCTTTGACTCCGGCCATCTGCGGGTGGAGAGGGGAGGAGTTAGAGTCGGTGACCCGGTCCATGAGGTGGGCCCGGGTCGTGGAGTTGAACCCGCCCGTGAAGAGGGATGATGAGACATATTGTTCTTCGACCCGTTGGGCTACTGGGTCGTTATTGAGCTGGTTGTCGGGTGTCGGGGGAATGTGGACTGTGTAATTGAGATAATCGGACGAGCTGAGTTCGCTGTCGAGATCGTCTCTGGAGTAGTTGACGTAGCGGCCGGAAGGGGTTCGGCGGGCGAACGTGACGACGTGAGGGGGGAGAGGAGGCCGGCTGCCGGAGGGGTTTGTCCCGGAGAGCGTGTCAGAGGATATGGAGAGGTTGGATGGGGTGGCCTTGAACGATTTCGAGGCCATTCTCGGGATTTTTGAAGCAAGCGACTACACTAGGAAATGTTAAATTGGATCAAGAAATGGAAAAAAAATAAAATAATAATTACAGATGTAGATCAGAGGAATGATTTGTGATGATAGCAACTCTTGAATTTTAACAATCACAAAATTTGGTGGAGAAATCAGCAACAAATACACTAGGAACTGTTAAAAGGGATCAAGAAATTGAAAAAAAAAAATAAAATAAAATTACAGATATAGATCAGAGGAATGATTTATGATGATAGCAACTCTTGAATTTTAGCAATCATAAATTTGATGGAGAAATCAGTGGGGGGTGGGGTGAGATTGGCCAACATAAATGTGATAATGAGATTAAGAATTGATCAATACACATTACAGTTCTGCAGTCAAAGTAGTCGAAAGTGAAGTCAATCAATTCACAATTTGGGGTGGCCTTGAACGATTTCGAGGCCATCTCGGGATTTCGAGCAAGCAACTACACTAAGAACTGTTAAATTGGATCAGAGGAATGATTTATGATGATAGCAACTCTTGAAGATTAACAGTCACAAAATTTGATGGAGAAATCAGTAGGAGGTGGGGTCACTCAGAGCAAGAATCAGATTATGAGATTGGCAAACATAAATGTGATAATGAGATTGATAATCAATTAATATACATTATAGTTCTGCAGTCAAAGTAGTCAAAAGTGAAGTCAATTAATTCACAATTTGAGGTAAGATTATCAATCAACACAATCTAATAAATCACATTTTATAAATGAAAATTCTCTGATTTTCACTCTAAATCATCGGATCCCACTCAAATTTTGCAGATATGATGAAGAACCCCAATTCAAGATCAAGAAAAACAAAGACAATAAGAGCAAACAAAACTTACCCAGAAAAATGATCAGTAGAAGTAAGCTCCTCCTCAAACAAGAATTTCAGAAAACTACGTCATCGACCAATTTTACTGCTGACACTAGACGACCAAACAGTGGGCTACATTTATTTAAAAAAAAAAAAAGACTAAAAATTTGCACACAGGCATATACGTACCTCCGGCTAACTGAGTATAAACGCACGGCGGCAAAAGGATTGTGGTTCCCCGGCTTTTCAAGTTTTTATCTTTCCATGCCGAGATTGTACAATTTGGTTGCCTCTATGTAATATATATCACAATCATTACAAAAATTAACAAAAAATAAAAATAAAAAATAAAACTCCGGTAGCCGACGCGTAGCTGAGCTTTTTGCCTGCGCGTTTGTTTTGTTACAGCGAAAGTCGAGATTTTCCTCACAGTATTTTGGCTCACGTCTTTTTTTCTCTGCTTAAGACTGGAAGATGTTAATAGATGATGATTATAGGGATAGTTTTGTAATTATGACTTCACATTTTACATTTTTAATTAATATTTCTTTCACACTTCCGGATATTGCGCAATAGAAAAAGAAAAGAAAATGACAGGAGAAGAAATGGTATATTCGATTTTTGTAAGAATGGAAATGAGAATAGACATAAATTTGGCCTAGTCAATCTTAATATTTAATCTTCATTCTTCACAAATTTCTATCTGAGGTGACTAATAAATGGTAGGCAGTATGATGTGGTTAATTGTTAGACAATTTGACCGGTGTTTATTTACATACGAAATCTATACCAAGAATTGAGATATGTGAAATATTGAAATGGTATTCTCCAATAGTATCACGATTGTTTATTTATCTTGCATCTTTTGTTGTTGCTAGAGCAATGTGACTTTGTTTCATATATTTAGTAACAAAAATTATCCAAAAAACTCTGAAAGGAACTTCAGTGTTTGATTTGGCCCGGACATTGTTTACCAAAAACAAAGGTATGTATAAAAATAAATATTGTCATACTTTTATTTATTTATCATCTTTAAAAGTATAACTTTTAAGGAAAAAAGCTATGAAAGTAAAAGTACATATATATATATATATAATTACTAGCTCAAAATATTTAATAAAACCTATTTAATTTTACTTATGTGGCAATTTAATAATTTTCCCTCCAAAAACCGTTACATTTTGATGTATTTAATCTTTCATTTAATCATTAAATAATTTATACTCATCACTTCAAAATTACAAAAATCATTTTAAATTTTTTATTAATGACAGTTGACCATATAATGTGTTGACCGTATAATGTGATTAGATGTTATTATTGTTGTTACATTTAATTTTTTTTTAAAAATAAAAAATATATTTGAAATTCCTAAATAAATAATAAATAATTCACAAATAAAAGACGTACCAAAATATACATTACATCTAATCAGATAAACGCAATTTTTTTAAAAAAAAGATATTCCAACTCTTTTAATTGTAAATTTGGTCTGCAAAAAAGTGAAAGAAAAGTAATTAATCATTATATGCATACAAACTCACAATAATTTATTTATATCTGTGCAAATGCACAGATCGAATACTAGTTGAATTAACCATTGGAATAGTATTAAGTTTTGTATGATTAATTGTTCATTCACATATATTTAGCCGGTCGTTTCGACCATTATTTTGTGTTATTGGATTGAATGAAATTTGAGTAATCAATCCGATAATCAATGCATATGAAATTTTTTTGTGAATAAATTATATCTAAAGCGTAATGATTTCCCATCTTATGGTCAAAAAAGGGACCAGAAAAGTGAGCAATAATAATAACAATGTTTGAGGGGTCGGTGGAATTTTCGTTTGAGTTTGAGAAAATGCAGCCCACGTTCTCTGTATACTCGCACCACAACACGTTAATCCATACTTCATGAGAATAATTAATTATTTACAAGGGAATTATTGTCTTATATATTTATTTTAATGATTTATTCTTATTTTTCCACAAAAGATTTATAATGGAATTATTCACAAGTCACCAAACATTGCAGATCCAGGTAAGTTCGATCCTATGGCCAAGGATCACAGATTCACACACACACACATCCATGTGGGTGTGCATTGCTCCAACGGCTTCACACAGACAATATGAAATTTACCGTGTGTGTTGATCCAACAGCTCTCCACACAGACAATATGAAATTTACTGTAGATCCTAACCTGCGTGGGTGGATAAGGATTTTATCCATCGGATCACTATTCCACAAACACACACTCATATGGGTGTGTGTTAATCCAACGGCACTCCATTCATCTCAATTCATGATCATAGTACATAATCATAATCAGAAGTGCACTTACCATGGTTCGATCAAAAATCAAGAGTCCGGAACTTCAGGTATCTATTGGCAAATAACACAAAATGTAAATATTATTAAATCGCGTGAAATAAATAGATGAACCATTTTCGCAATCCCGATCGGGAGAAAACTGTGGATCACAAAACCGCGCGGGTCTAATGTCACATGTAAAATTACACAAGGCCGCGAAAAGAATGATGAATGAAAAAGAGAAAGGATAAAGAGAGTATAGGAAAGTGAAATTTCTAATTCGTTGAGAAATTAAAAATTGGAAATTAAGATCCTTGAATAGTAGATGCATTGGAACGGTGGCATTCGCAAGTACAGATGCTTCTGGATTCTTTCACCACCCGCTGAGATCTTCTTAAGTGGAGCTTTATGTTCACCAACTTACCAGCCATCTGTTACAGTGTTCAGAAATAAGCAAAATGCTAACACGATTTAAACTTGTTATGTCCAATATGTAGAATCTGAAAATAATCCTCGTTTGTAAGTGCAGTTAAAATCCACTTTTGTTAATGTAAGTCATGTAGCATTTGTAGAGGACAACAGTAAGCATGAAAACTCAGACGAGCAGACATGGCGTGTCTTTTTCTTTATCTTTTTTTTTTTTTTTTTTNATAATTTTTTGTTATTTGTATTTTTCCAGAACTCCAAGAAAAAGTAAAATACCATCGGTGAATCATTTTATTCGAATACTCAATAACCAAACGATGTGACCCAAAATGACTATCATAACTTGGATAATTTTGCCACCAATTGGTAGAGGAGAATAGATCCTCACTAGTTTACAATTTATGGCATCCAAATATTTTTATCATCCCACGCTCACTTTCATGTACTAACCAAAACAGATATATAGCAAAAAAAAGATGGAGTAACTAACCATTCTCCAAACTAAGTCTTCTGGGCCCATTGGCAGTGCCGGATGGGAATACAAGAAGTGCCTCGAGTACTGAAAGAAGTAGAAGTAGACATGGTTAATCAAATGTTGTCCCAAATAAAACAATAAAAAAATGAAGAAAAATACCGGTTATCAGTTTCTGTCAAAGTAATTTCTTTATTTTGACAGGGAACAAAATATAATCATAAGTATTTTAACTTTGCAAATGAGCTGTAACATGCTGCTTAGAAAAAAGAATACATGAGGTGGTGGAGCTCAGACCTTGGCTAAATACTGTTGCTTCTCTCTAATTTGTGCAGCAGAAATGCCTCTTAAATATGATAACAGCCATCCTGGATGCAAGGCATCACTAGAAGTCACAAACACAGCTATCTGCCACATAAAAAATACCCCGGTCACCACATAGCTAATATAGGAGGCACTAAAAATAAATATCTAAAAACCCATATCTTGTTAACTTTAAGTACCAAGTAACTGTAATATATCAATCACCATAGTAATCATTTCTACCAATTGATATACTGAAAAAAGTAACATATTTGTACCACCAAAACACCAGAAGACTGTGAGTACCTTGCGATAATCAAGTATTCCTTCAAATGGAAGCTCAAGTTCATCACTGACTATTACAGGGATGCACCCACTGACAATAGCATCAAACAACCTAGCAGATGAAGGAGTATCTCCAGCTGGATTAAGGCAAAAGATTGACCTGATGAATAATGAGTAAAGCAAGTTGGTCAGAAAATTCTGTTTGGTCAACCATAATGCTCAAACCATACTAATTATGCAGCTATAGCGTTACTTGCGCATCCCAGCCTGAGCTGCAGCTTTTCCTTCTTCTCCAGCAGAACCCTCCTCTATGACAACATCATTGGCGCCACTAAGTTCTGTGACAAGATTAGCACGGATTTTGCCACCCTAGAAGTACAAAAAGAAATCACTTCTTCTTAAGTATTTTAATGCATGAGGGACTCAGGCGGGAGGACCCAAGAGACTTAAACAAATTGAGAGACANAAAAAAAAAAGAACTCATGCACGAATCTAGAAATCTTACAGCATTTCTTTTTAGCCTTCCCCGAAAAAAGAGAAGAGTGGTTCTCTTGGAATTTAATGAACATTTGGCATCACACAAATCGACGTTGGCAACATATGGAAGTATCAAGTCTTTCTCGAGGTAAACTTGTCCTGGCTTATACCTGAATTAGCAAAAATATATGTTACACATCTACAGCCAATTACCGCATTGGTTCACTGCTGGGATTTAATGCATTTACTGACCAATTCCCTGTTGAGTCCATATCTGGAAGCAGCCAGATGGCATGCTTCATAAACTTTCTGACAGATTTAAATGACCAAGGATGATGAACTGGTAAGATATGATCTCTACCCTCAGACCTTTTCCAAGCTGGTTGGTCCGTAACCCACTTTAGGGCCTCCTACATAAGGCAACATAGGTATTAAAACCAAAAGTATTTAATGCAACTTTGTGTATCTTCTAATAAATGGGGAACCAAGAAAACCGTTGTAGAAAGTTGTAATCATGCACAAGGAAACACAATTATCTTCAAAGAGTAAGATTCTATGGGTAACGCACTCACACCCTATAAAGCGCCTTGCATTGCTGCTTTTCCAACAAGAAGAAGCTAATTGTTGTGAAAAATGGAATGTAGAACAAGTCGGCCTCCTCCTGTTTGTATACTCTGACCACATTCTTCAACAACCTCTCTGACTCAGGAGCTATCAAATCCGCCCATAACCAGTAATCAATAGAATGCTACAACCAAGAAGAATTACTACATGAGTTCAGAGAATAACCAGATATATATATATATATATATATATATATATATATATATAAAACGCTTAAATCTGTACAGATCCACAATACCGAGCTCGTGCAGCTGGTACTCACTAAAAAAATCAATGATAATCACACATTAAGATCAGCCATTCGTCACCAAAATCTGAATAACGGAGGCTCACCTGCTCAATTAACCTATGAACTGGGCTGCCATTGGAGGTGAGATTAGCAGTCTCTTTATACGTAGTGTGGAACAGCCGGAGCAAATCGTACGTGAATTTGGACGGCATATCGTACACGTACACCCTAATCGGCGAACGAAACGGATCATCACCTCCATAGATACGTTTCTCCTGTCCTTGAGAGATCAAATCGTCGAACACCTGCACGTCCTGCTCTGTAGCATTCCTTCGAACTGTGTCGTCTCCGGGGGTGGAGGACGATTTTGAGTTGTGATTGGCAAGGAATTTCTCGAGTGAGGAGGTGAAAGAGTAATCGACGTTAGGGTTTCGAGCTGCGTGGAATTGGAGAGATGGGGAAGAAGCCGATGTGATGATATAGAAAAGGACGGAGAGGAAGATGAGGGAGAGAGTGAAGAGAATGAGCGGAGATCGCCGAGATTTAGTAGCGGCGGCGGCCGGGTGGTGGTTTCTTCCGGTCATATTCCGGTGGGTCAGTGGCATTTAACTGTTGAGCAAGGAATTTTCAGCTCTGCAGAGTTTGGACTTCTGGACTATGTGACTTTGGACGAATTTTTAGTTCTAGACAGCAATTTTGTTTCTCAATTGCGTGGTCAATCATTGTTATCCCTCCATATATTAATTCAGAACACATGCTCAGCCTATGTGGCATGCTCGCATGCTTCGGGATCTTATGTGGTAAAATTACCGTTATTAGGCTTGAGTAGATTTAATTTTACTTCTAATCCAAATATATTTAAGTTCGAATTATCTATAAATATGTTGAGCATAGGGGTGGGCGCCGGGACGGTCCTGGATTTGACTTGTCCGGGTACGATCACACTCTTATGAATCTGTCAATGAACGGTCCGGAATGAGTCACCATCCCCACCCATGTATTACATGGGTGTTGTACTAGTGTTTTTTAAATAAAAAGACTATCTATTATTTTGATCTTAATGTGTTTTTCAATTATTATTTTATTATTTACTTTTTAATGTTAACTATCAAGAATTCATATTTTTATATCAAATTAAATTTAGTTTGAAAATATTTCTCAAATAGTCTTTACATTTTCAGACGAGCCAAAAATTTAGAGTTAAATATTTCTAGACTATAACTTGTAAACAAATTGAGTTGAGCTCGAACTTTTGATACTCAAGCTCTACATGAGCCTTTACCTGATTTTACCTCGCATATCAATATTAACAAGTCAAACTCTAGAATTAATAAACGAGTCAAACTCTAGCCTCAATAAACTGAGCTAAATTAAAAATTAAAAAACAACATAAAAGCCCTTTTATCGAACTTAACAAGGCTTAATAAATCGAGTACGACTGGACTCGTTAAATAAACAAACTTTAAATAAGCTCTTACCTAGCCTCTCAATCTTCACTGTCCAAAATCTTGGGAGGAGACCATCTCAATAGTACCTTATATTATTACCATAACTAACAATGATTCATAACAGTCATATAACAGAAATTGCTTTTACCTGCAGCGAAAAGATTCTGATTTCTGAACTCATGTTTGGTATTATATAAGAAACCAAAACAACAAAGAAAAGTCTCAAATCAGTTTCAAATCAGTCGTAATCCATATCTCATCCCATCAGTAAAAAGAAACATGAAAGGCACAAACACCAAGATCACAATCCACAAACATCTCCAATACCAATCTCTACAAATCTACTGACATCAATCCTAAAGGCAATTTATCCACTATAGAAGATGTCAAACACAAACATGCATGAACATCAATAAAATTAAAATCTCGATTTTTCCTATACGAAACCATGGGCAAATGGGAAAAATAAAAACGAAGTACAAGATAATCTCCCTCAAAACGAGATGAGATCGTCTTTTGCTGGCTGAGATTTCTTCTCGTCACCTCTCGACTCGGATGTCCCGCCATCACCACCACCACCGGATGATTTCTTACCAAAGATCATCTCGTCGAGATCATCCATGATGTCATCATGGTTGTTGTTGCTATTGCCTACATGGCTTTCGGGCCTGGGGCCCGTTGGTTTTCTGACGAGAGTCTCTTCTTTCGAGGCCCGTGGGGACTCGTCGGGCTCCACAGCAACGTGTATCATGGCAGAATCGGGCTCCTACGGGACCGTGAGGGCTTCTTCATATCCTCGTATTTGGATAGGATTTTCGGGATTTCGTTATTCACGTTCAGTGCCTCAAAGATGAGGGCCTCGTTTCACTTTGATCATGGTGTGGAACAAGCCTGCCTCCTTTCCATGATAAATTTCGTTGGTTGTTTGTGCAACATAGAGAGGCTGAGAGTGATTGTCGAAGTACCCTATGCCGGTGTCAGTCTTCAAGTGCGAAAGTCTTGTTAAATTGAGTCTGAATGAGTGTGTTGTCCCAAAACAGTAGACATATACTTGCCTAACCTCAAGGTACTGAGTTTAGTATGCGTTGAGTGTGTTGTCCCCTGTTTTAACGTTGACATATACTTGCCTAACCTCGAGGTACTGAGTTTAGTATGCGTTAGACATGAAGGAGGGACCCTGATTTCACATTACCTGGTGCTTAAAGATCTGACTGTATTCACGATTGACAGCTGCTATGAGTAGAAAAACTTGAAGTTGAATATTGCTACGTGTATAAGGACGACAACCCAGAAAACCGGGTCCGGAGGTTGCATTGTCCTACACTTAAGTAGTTGGAGTTGATAGACAACACGGCCTTAGAACTTGAGGCTACTGCAATGCCTTCACTCATCGCTGCAAACATTAAGTTTGGTAACTTTGGTCATGGTGTGGAACAAATCTGCCTCCTTTCCATGATAAACTTCGTTGGTTGTTTGTGCAACATAGAGAGTCTGGGAGTGACTGTGCCGGTATTCGACTTAATTTATCGTATTGTTTGTAAATTTTATTCACTGTTTTCATACTCACTCGCTGCATTTCTGGTAATAATTGATGCTGGTTATTTGCAGCTCCCTTCCAAGATAATATCAATTCCCAGGTTTGATAATTGTACTCGGCTCGAGTTGGATGCCCGTTTCCTTTCCTTAGGGAGGTTGGTTGATAAAAAAATGTACTTTATTCTATGAAGTATTGTATTGAAGTGTAATAGGTTTGAAGTCTGTAGTTATTTACTTATGTCACTTATGTCACAATAGTGACATAAGTAAATAACTACAGACTTCAAACCTATTACACTTCAATACAATACTTGTCCATAGTACAGTACATTTTTTTGATCAACTAACAACCTTGTGGAGAATTAGGACTTCAAGGTTGTGTGGGCACTCTTCAAGACTATTTGAGGAAACACGAGTCGGCATCCAACTCGAGCCGGGTACAATTATCAAACCTGGGAATTGATATTATCTTGGAAGGGAGCTGCAAATAACCAACATCAATTATTACCAGAAATGCAGCGAGCGAGCATGAAAATCAATTCAAGAAAATCCTCCAATTGACAAAAAAATTCGTCAAACCAATTCAAGAAACATCCTACATCCTTCAATTGACAAAAAAAATTCATCAAACCAATCATCATCAAATTCACAACGCGTGTTCGAACATCCAAATCACAGATGCAACAATACATACAATAAACAAAATGATAACACAACTTAAATCCACAAAGAGATAATGTATGGCTAAAAATGGAGAAAAATCATTTCAGAGCACAGACCTGAAAAAGAAGAGGACGCGTAGCCGAGAAGGCGAAGGCGAGGACGGGAACGAGCACAAACCGGATGAGCCGAAGAACGCCGCGGTCTAGCTCGGCGTGGCGCCGGTGAAGGCGCCGGTGAAGTCGCCGGCGACGAGCTTCGAGGAGCGGGCCGAGGGGCTGAAGGTGAGGAGCGACAGGAGGGCCCAGATGCGGAAGAGGAGCTGCGAGGCGAGAAGTACTCCGTCGGAAATCTAATGGGGATTTGAGAAGAGGCGGGTTTTTTGGTACAGACAATAGGATACCAAAAGCGAAGCAGATACAATTAGGCCAATCAAGACAGTCAAGTGTCTTCCTGAGTTTATGTGCAAGATTTGTGGTCGGTGGACAATTCTGAAGGGAATCACAGATACAGGCCATAATAATGCCCGCATATAGTAACTAGTACTCGTGAGATGGTGCACAATTTTAAAATCTATACTTATATTAAAGGGGGTACTATTTACTAAATGTAGTATGTAGAATAGTCTAACTCTAATTAATGATTTGCTATTTTTATCAATCATTTAATTAATGCATCTAATATTTTTGGTATGCAAATCAAATTAGCATTTAATTAGTTCTTAAAATATTGTGTATGCAATATTAATTTAGGAACTAGTACGTAACCCGTGCGATGCACGGGATGTAAAATTTGGAAGAATAATAACCTCACGTGCATTAGGATCGAAATTGAAATCATTAAAATACATAGGAACATTGTTGAATCATAAAAAGTTCGGTAACAATCCTATATTACTAAAAACTTCCCTTGTACACAACATTATGAGTTTGATTATTTGGTAACTCCTCATTATCACAAACTAATATTTTCAAAAAAGACAAATCCTAAAAATCAAACTAATATTTTTGGTGAACAAACTAATATTTTAGGATTGATAAACTAATATCTTAGGATTTCTAGGATTTGTCTCTTTTTAGTGAATAAACTAATATTTTAGGATTGATTATATGAATAAGGCTACCTGTTTTTTGTGTTCTTTTCATTCCTTTTCATTCAAACAATCCGATGACTTGTTTAATGAAATCCGAATTTTAAGCCGAAATATTTAAAAAAAGAATTTTTAAAAATTGAAAAGTCAAGGCAATCAGTTCAAATTAATTAAAGGTCAAAGAATATCCGCTCCTTGAAATAAAGACGTGTGCTATCATTAACCAAATATCCGATTATTGATATAGAATGGTTACCAAAAAATAGAACGCGATAAGAACGCTTCATGGAAATATTAATGGGATAAGATCATAACAGATCGCTATACATTTTAACGATAAAAGCTCATATGGAATGATTTATGATAATTATGTCGTAATTAATGAATTAATTAGATGTGTGAAAATGGCATAATTAATGAGAAGTGTGAAAAGGACATAATTAATGAGAAGTGTGAAAAAGACATAATTAATGAGAAGTGTGAAAAAGACAAAAACTTACCAGTTTTGGAAAATATTTAATGCAAATCCGACATTGACCATAATTTGACCTACTATTTTGGATAAATGTTAATTCTTATTATATAAATATAGATATCTATGTAGTTCCTAAAATGTAGGTATGCAATACGTAAATGAAGATTTTATATTTTTTTTTAAATATAAAATATTGCAACACTTACAACTATTCCAGTTATTTTTTTATTTTATTTTACATATAAAATTTAATCAATATTTAATGCATCCTACAAAATTGGATTTAGTTTAATTTTCCATACAATTGGTTGTAACTTTTTCAGTTGTACTTTTTTTATTTATTTATTTTACACTTTTAAATTAATGAAGCTCTCCGAAAATACCAAATCAAATGATTTATGAAAGTTTTTTTTTTTACAATTTTAAATCTATATACCCAGCTTAAAAAACTCATCGCATGGACGAGTTTAAGAAAATTTCATAACCCAGCTTATAAAATTCCATCTCCACGAGTAAAAAAAATCACATCCCTCATCTATCGTAACAACTTTAAACGTAAATAAATAAAAGTCTAATTACTACTATAAATCCATTATCTATATAGATTTTTTAAAAATGTAAATTTCACCTGTCTCATTACTAATATTTTAGATACTTTTAAATATTATTTGTATAATTTTTTTTTACACATTTGCTCTCTCTCTCTCTCTCTCTATATATATATATACATATATGAAGGTTAAATGAAGAATTTTTAGACATATTTTCCTTACGGGTAGTTTAGAAAAATTTAGGTAGCTTCAAACATTATTTGTGAATAATATAGAATATTTTAGATGCTTTTATAGATGTTATAAAATATTTTAAGTATTTTTAAATATTTTAAGTATTTTTAATATTTATATATCACACTTAAAAAGAATATTTTGCCAAAAAAAAAAATTAAATACACATTGTAAATGTTAATAGAAACAGTCTTCAGTATTCATCTTTGATTTTGTCAAAACAAATCTTATAAAATCGGTGAAGTCAAAATTTGTACGTAAAGTCTATCTATACTAAAAAAAGGTAGATTCAAAATTCTTTATCTAATTTCTTTTTTTCCTTATCTAATTCATTCTTATTATCTAATTGTATAGAAATCTGTTCTGATTTTGTGTAATCCTTTAATTGTATTTGTATCATATTCGATAAAATCGGTTTAACAAAAAAAATCCCATAACATCCGATAAGTAAAAAAAAGTACGTAAAATCTTTATTAAAATAAAAAGGCTTTACTTATTATCTAATTTATTATCTACTTGTATGGAAATCTTTTCTGATTTTATATTACGTACTACAAATTGTGCACCCGTGTTCAGGAGCTACTTAACCGGCAGGCTATGTGAAAATAACTCATTTAGTGCTTCTGTCCCGTGCATACGATATGTATTTGTATTACACATACTAGAAAATTGTGCACACCGTGCATCGCACGGACTCCGTACTAATAAATGACCTTAAAATTGTGCACCCCGTGCATCACTCGTGTTCACATTTTGGCCTATTACAGGTCACGTACTATATATATCCTGTACATTTTTCTTTATTCATTTATATAATTATAAAACTTGATAAATAGTCATAATTTTGTGCACCCCGTGCATCGCACGGGATCTGTACTAGTTATTTATTCATGCTTATAATTATATACATAAATAAAAAAAAATGTATGGGATATATATTGTAGTGACCCGTGCAAGACACGAAATATATTTTTTTGGGGAGTATTATATTATAAGATGCAATATTACATAAAAGCTTATTTGAGGAATATTATATTATAAGATGCAATATTACATAAAAGTTTTATAATACGTAGGAAAATTGTACAATAAGATAGTATTGGACAAAGAAACAATCATATAATATTAAACACCTCCTTGTACACAACATTATGAGTTTGATTTTTTTTTTTGTACCGATTTTATGAGAAAAACAATTAAATAAAAATTAATTGATGAAAATAGAATGCATTAATTACCTTTGACTTTTCTTCCTACTAATTTTAGTAAATGGGACGGCTCTTTATATAAGCATAGATGGTCAAAATCTATTAATGCCCAATTACGTCTTAGGTTTAACCAAAAATCTAATCCCGTATCGATAAACAATTTTGCATCTAATAGATAAGTATATCATTTGAAATTATAGTAAGAATCGGATTTTGCCAAAATTTTGTGAAAAATGAGGTTGTTCAACAAAACTTTACCCAAAAAAAAAAATGATTTGAAATTGATTTGCTGAAAGATCGAAAAAATGGTTAAGAGAAAGAAAAAGAATCCCCGTAACACCAATGTTTTAAAGAAAAAGAGAAAGAAATCCACAATTGTTAGGTAACATCGATTTTCAAAATATGCACCTTCTTTTTTTCCTAAAACACATGATATGAAATTGATCTGCATCTACTCCGTTTTTTTCTTATACAATTCTATTAAATTAATTTGAGTATAACCCATCAAAGCTCACGTTTGTAAATTAAAAAGTAAGTATCCGAGATTGAAGGCGTCTTTAAATATTTCTTATCCATAATTGAAGGTATCATTAAATATTTCTTGATTAATAAATAAATAAAAAAAAAAAACTTTCCCGTAATAGCATACTTAATGTTTCTAAGTTTTTCTTCTTACTATTTTTTATAAATGTTAATTCTTATTATATATATATATATATAGATGCCAGAACTTGCACAAGCCAAGTAAAAGGGGATCTCTATGTTTTATTGCAAATATGTTACATTAATTCAGACTATCTATTATTTTGATCTTAATGTGCTTTTCAATTATTATTTTATTATTTACTTCTTAATGTTAACTATCAAGAATTCATATTTTTATAACAAATTAAATTTAGTTTAAAAATATTTTTCAAATAGTTTTTACATTTTCAGACGAGACGAGACAAAAAATTTTGAGTTAAAATTTCTAGACTATAACTTGTAAACAAACCGAGTTGCGCTCGAACTTTTGATACTCAAAATTTTGAGTTAAATTTTTCTAGACTATAACTTGTAAACAAACTGAGTTGAGCTCGAACTTTTGATACTCAAACTCCAACATGAGCCTTTACCTGATCTTATCTCGCATATCAATACAAACGAGTCAAACTCTCGCATTAATAAACTGAGCTAAATCAAAAAGTAAAAAAATTACATAACAACCCTTTTATCGAACTTAACAAGGCTTAATAAATTTAAATTGAGTACGACTCGACTCGTTAAATAAACGAACTTTAAATGAGCTCTACCTCAGTACCTAGTCTCTCAATCTTCACTAAACACTGTCCAAAATATTGGGAGGAGACCATCTCAATAGTATCATAGATTATTACAATAACTAACAATGATTCACAACATTCATAACACAAAAGAAATTGCTTTTACCTGCAGCAAAAAGATTCTGATTTCTGAACGCTTTTACCAGCAGCAAAAAGATTCTGATTTCTGAACTTATGTTTGGTAGTATATAAGAAACCAAAACAACAAAGAAAGAAAAAGTCTCAAATCAGATTCACCACAATCATAATCCATCTCATCTCATCTCATCAGTAAAAAGAAACATGAAAGGCAAACACATCAAGATCACCATCCACAAACATCTACAATATACCAATCTCCACAAATCTGCTGACATCAATCCTAAAGGCAATTTATCCAGTATAGAAGATGTCACACACAAACATGCATGAACATCAATAAAATTAAAATCTCGATTTTTCCTATATGAAACCATGGGCAAACGGGAAAAAAGAAAAAGAAGTACAAGATAATCTCCCTCAAAACGAGATGAGATCGTCTTTTGCTGGCTGAGATTTCTTCTCGTCACCTCTCGACTCGGATGTCCCGCCACCACCACCACCACCACCGGATGATTTCTTACCAAAGATCATTTCGTCGAGATCATCCATGATGTCATCATGGCTGTTATTATTATTATTGCCTCCATGGCTTTCGGGCCTGGGGCCCGTTGGTTTTCTGACGAGAGTCTCTTCTTTTGAGGCCCGTGGAGACTCGTCGGGCTCCACAGCCACGGGTATCATGGCAGGCTCGGGCTCCTGTGGGACAGTGAGGGGCTTCTTCATATCCTCGTATTTGGATAGGACTTTCTGGATCTCGTCATTCACGTTCAGTGCCTCGAAGAGGAGGGCCTCGTTTTCGCCAGCCGTCTCGATTATTGTCTGAACAGTGTATTGGGATTGGCGGCATTGTTGTAAAAGCGTGGTGATTAAATCGTCCTGCGTGAAAATTTTGGGAAAATGTGAAATCAGAAATTATTAGCTTATAAGCTTCATGTATTCGAATAAGCTTCGTTTGGTAGGACGAGATTTTAAAAAAAACTCGAGCTTATCTCATAAACTACTTTGGGTAGTTTTTCAAATAAGCTCGTTGAATTTTTTATTTCATCTAGCTTATCAACTAATTTTACCAAAACACTTTTATCATATAAGCTATCTTTTCAACTATAAGTCATAAGCTATAAGCTGGAAGATCACTTATAAGAGCTTATCAGCTAGTTTTACAAAACATAGCATAAACCAAATTCAACTGTCCTCTGTCCCCTTCGCTTTTGTTCTCACTTTTATGTACTAAACGGTTCACAAATTCTAATTTGAAAACATCTCGTGTATCCTACTCAGTCACATTGATATTATCTCTAGAACTCTACATTATCGGCATTTGTGTTGGGTATTACAAATGGTTAATAAGTCTAACCCATAAACAAAGTAACCGTCACAGGAAAAAAGTTGAGTCCAAGAATTAATGGTACAACTACAAAGACTTTGATTATTACAGTGGCTTCACATAAACAAGTACAAATGGCTAACAGGTCAGTTTGAGAACAAACTAGTCACCAAAGGAAAAAAAAAATATATATTAATAACAATATGAATTACATTGAAGTCCGAATATCTGACTACAGAATATAATGAATTGCAAGAGAACTTGAATGACTATCATTCTCATGTACTGACAAGTGGAAATAAAAAGAAGCATACACAGATATTCAAATAAAAGTAGGAGATAATTGACATGTTGATTGTTTACCTGCAGAGCATCTTGCTGAGGGGAAGAGGTCGGAACAGTACTAAGAAGGTCGATACTGTTTTTGGCCACATCAAATGCTTCCTTTGTCTGTTCCGGTGAAAAAGTCTGCACAGGAATATCGTGATGAAGATGTTGGGCGAATGGGGCATTTGGTTCCAGAGCCGAAACTGATCTTTCCGGAGTAAATATTGGGGCCAGGCTCTCATTGTCTCGTCCAGGAAAACGTACTCCTCTCGATTTCAAACTCTAAGATGAAAAAAATAAATAAAAAAAAAACNCTTCATGCATGCTCAAAAAGAAAAACAAATGCATATGGAAACAGGGGCGGATGGACATTATATTTAGGGGGGGCCATGTTCCCCCCCAAACTTTTTATTTTTTTTTAACTAAGTATATATAAATATATTAGATTAAGTCCATAAATTTATTATTGTCCCCCCAAGGACCCAAGGCCTCATTACCAATTAACTACATCTACATAGACTAACACTAGTCAAGGCCCATTAGGATATATTTAAAATATAAGTCATAAGCTCATTTAACTCTCACATCTTCATGTATTATATATTATATATATATTATATTAGTTATCTATTAATAATAAACTAATAAACTAATCTAAACCTATGTAACATAAACAAACAACCAGCAACAACTTCAATTCCAGAGGTAGAGGCGCACTCACGCACAAACAAGTGACACAATACACAACAATTGGCAAGGTAAAAAGAAAAATCACAAATCCTCCGTTCAATACCTTGATTCTTCCAAGTATTTTGATCATTCCTTTATATTTGTGAGTACTTATTTATGCCCATGTTCATAATTTAATTTATTTATCATTTTTAGGGATTTAGGGTTTAAAATCATCACTCAAGAACATATGGAACATATATAGGCTTATGAAAAAGATTTACTACAAGTTCAATTGCGACATTATGAGATTGATGTTCTCAAGCATTTAGAATTTTAAAATTTGTGCACTATCTCTGATTTGTGCCAATGGATTGTGAAAAGCAGAAAGTCCTTGATATATCCGTTGATTGATAGATTAATAAGATTGATTCCTACACTTCCTGTGTCTACGGCGACCACAGAGCGTGCATTTTCGGCTATGGGTATCGTTAAATCCAAACTTCGAAGTAAAATGGAAGATGACTTTCTTGTAAATTCTTTGACTATCTTTCAGATATTGCAAGATCTAATACTACCGAGTCAATCATCGATGGGTTTCATGACTTGAGAGAACGTCGAGCACAATTCTAACAACCACAAAGTTTGAACGGTATGTATTTTTTGAACTACTTTTTTTTTTTATATTCTAAAAATGCAACTTTGTTTTTTCAATGAAGTATGTCATTATTGAAAATTATTTCGTCCTCCCCAAATAAATTTTCTAGATCCGCCCCTGTAAGGAAAGATGACAAAAGAAGAAGAAAAATCGAGACCAAGCATAACCCAATCAGTAACATCAAAAACAATGAATGACATGGTCAAATTTTCCATGTCTTGCCACCAATTGATAACGAAGTATTATAATAGCAGAAGCTTTAACTACTAAGTAAACGTTAATAGTCCTTTAATATCAAATTTAACGCAAGCGCTGCACGAATGCGGAGCGTGTGCACATTTGCATCACATAAAATTCTCTCACATTATGCACATACCATGCATGCATCGGGACTTGAATTAGGCTATGTTTGGTAAAACTAAATGATAAGCTAGTTGATAAGCTAAGTTATAAGCTAACTTATAACTTATAAGTGATTTTTGAGCTTATAATTTATAACTTATGACTTATAGCTGAAAAACTAGCTTATATGATAAAAGTGTTTGGTAAAAATTTCAACGAACTTATTTGAAATAACTAAATAAGCTATAAGCTAGCTTATTTAGTTACCAAACATAGCCTTAATCACTTGATACCATATCTCCACAAAATTGTTACAAAAACGCAATAATAATGCGAGATAATAAAGTGTGACAAAGACGAAAGGAAACCTCAACACACCAAATCAATAAAGTGGCTTCACCATTCATGAATTCTCACGGGAAATTGAAAAAACAAAACAATGACAAAGAACAGGCAAACGAGCAAAATAAACCGAGCTCACTTAAACAACACATGTGTAATAATGTACCTTATAAGTCTCTTCATAAACGGGCAAGTATCTCAGCTCGTTTGACGACTCCCCCCAAGACTCGATCAACATGAGAGCCTTATTCCGATTATTCACAACAGTCTGCGGGTCATCAATCAGCTTCACCATCTCGTCAAGCACTCTCTCGGCAACTACCTCCGAAAAGGCTTTCTCGCAATTCTTCACAACAGTTTCAAGCAGGACGAGAGCCAGATATTGAACCCTAGCGCTTTTCAGCATAATCCTTTTCTTTATACTCCTAATTAGCTCAACACTGTTAATCCTGTCATGATTGATCATATCGCATAGCTCGAGATTCGTGGCCCAATCGGGCTCACTGAGAGTCTCGGCTGTGGCCTCCTCGACTAGCTTGTCTGTTTGGTTCGGGCCTTGGAAAAATTCCTTCATCTTGAAACTCATGGAGCTCATGCCAGCTGTGATCTTCTGCCCAACCTCGGAGCCTCCGATTTTCAGGCGCTCGCCAATGGAATTCACTTTGTCCATCAAATTGTCACCCATGTTTTTGTTCGGATAAACTGTGGAAGAACTGAACAAGTTTAAATTGCTCGAAATCTTCTCAATCTAGATCTGAAAATACAAAAGAGCATGACTCTATATATCTAATCTTCCAATCGATAACAAAAAAAATAATATAGGAATTATGCTTTGATTTGCTTAAACATCAATATTACCAAAAAGAAAAAAGAAAGAAACATAAACATCATAAAATATACAGTAGGGGAAATATGCAACCCTCAAAAATTCAAACTTTTACCTAATTCACGAAGGCTTGGAGTTCATAGCATTTAATGCTGTAAGCATTCGATTAAAAGTTACAATAAAAATACGAAAAGCTTGGGATCGAAGAAAACGCGTTAGAATTTTTACCTTGGAACTGAAGGAGTAGTCAAGAACAGGTTTTTGGGTGTAATTTAAGACGGCTTGAGAGCAGAAAATTCAATCTTTTGGCTTATTCTTCAATATTTTTCACTTTTTTTTTCTTATATTTCGTTTAAAAAAACAAATATTTATCTAGTAAATTTTGATAAATCTATAGAAAAAAAATGTTTAAATATTTAATATTTTTTATTTGAGAATAATTTTTATATATAATATATATAATTAATTGTGGTGATTTTTGATTTTACACTATCTCTCTCTTACATATAAGAAAAAGCATGAGTGATTTTAGCGCTGACACATGGTGATTTTATTCTGACCAAAATACCCATGATTTTGCCCTCTTTTTACATATGATGCCTCGACATTTACCATCACATAAAGTACTCTTTGTTTATCTTATCTCTCTCTTACATATAAGAGAGAATAAGAGTGGGCTTTAGGCGCTGACACGTGGCGTTTTTTTCGCAAACACAAATGCCCTCCGATTTTGATATTTTACGATCACTGCCACTGCTATTGCATGAACGAAACGCGTCCCGTGGGTGAATTCCCAGATCTACTACAAATGAGCTTCTAACCGACGTCGTATGGCCTTTTCATTTTTCCCCATTTTTGGGTCTGCTTCTCAATTTTTTGGTCAAACACGCAAAATTAAATGATAAATTATGGATGTGAAAAAATGTCAGCTTTTGCTACACCCGCACGTCTTCCTCCTCCGAAAAGCCTAAAATTAGGGAAACCACTCCTCCATTTCCAAAATCTCAAATGGTACCTTCCCTATTCCACATTCACCCATTCTTTCTTCTCCATTTCCCAAAACTCTAATCCGTACCTTCCCTTGTTCCTCATTCACCCTAGAACACAGCATTTCACCCAATAAAAGCCATGATAAACCATGATCGCCGTTGGGAGCTACCCACCACCTCTGGCGCCAATGAGCGGCGGGGGCTCACCCTGCAAGTGCGCCGCCAGGAAGGCGACCGGAGTGTCATGGGCGGCATAGTCGAACAACACGTTGTCTAGCCTGAGCGAGGGGAGAAGCGAGCGGGAGGAGAACCTCGACGAGATGGCGTCGAGCTCGCAGGAGATAGCCGACGGCGGTGGCGACGGGGCCACCGGAAGGAAGAAGCTCCGCCGAGAAGAGACAACACGTTATCTAGCCTGGTTTGTTTTCGAAAAAGGTAAGAAATTCATCTGCATCTTTCATATTTCTCTATCTTTCAACATATAAATATGTTTTTCTGGACTAATAACTTTTCCCTGCTTTTATGTTTCCTCAATTGTAGTTAGCACAATTCAGCAATTCTCTCTAAAAAAAAGTACAAGAGAACCCTAGGTACACTGCAAAATTGCAGCTCCGATCCGCATACCACCACACGCAGCTATCACCTCCTCTTCTCAGAGCCCACAAAAACTCTTCTTCTCAGAGCCCACAAAAAGCAGTGGGCGGCCGCTTCTTTCCAGCCCATCTAGATTCCGACTCACGAGGCGCAGGTATTTATGCGGTCAAATCTTTAATTCTTTGTTGTGTTTTAGATTAGTAAGCATAATTTTCCGGATTGTGGGTGCCAAATCTTTTGTTTTTCTTTCATATTGTGTAAAATTAGTGAGTATACAAATATGTAAGTGGATTTTCATTTTCCGAGTCAGATGGAAGGTTTAAATTACTTTCACCTCTATTAAAAGCTTTTCGGATCAATCAATATCACTCATACTTATAGCAGTTGTTCAATGGCTGAGGGTTCCTTTACCATTGCCACAGTCTCGCCGAAGGCCATGAAGGCACCTGAGACAATGAGGTGGGCCGCTCACGGTACAGAAGATTGCGCAAAGCTCGCTCCGGTGCCTCGCGTCGTAAGTTTCCTCTAACGGCGCGTTTGGAATGAGTAATAGCTTGCATGTTTGGAATGAGTATTTAACTTTGGTCTTAATATATTTCCTGTGTTTGGGATGCTCAATTTTTTTTAGCTTGAAGGAAGAATAGAATTGAGGTCAACAACACGACTAATGACCTCAGGTACTGGGGCCTCGATTACCTCCGATTGGGAGTATTTAATCTTTTTGTGTTAGAACTCCTTTTGATTAAGTTAGTTTATAACATTGTATATGAACAGAAATGCATTAAGTAGAGACTTTAGATAACAGTATTCTAAAATTTAGTTTGTAACCTTCCTAATTCTGCCTTGTTACTGCTTTAACATTAATAATCTTTGTATAAGCATGTTACATGTCAATTTTCTGCAGTATGCTAAAAGTTTTTTATGATTGTTACTTCTGTTGAACTGTTTCGTCTTCGTTTTCCCCACTCACCACAGAGATGTATAATGCAAATGTTTCTACTTGCTGGACCTGGAGTGGTTATTTCAACCTTTTTCTTTTGGACTGCTTTAAAGGTATTAAGAATAAGAATTCTCTTTATTTTCCGCTGACATATGTTTTTTTAATAATTCTTAAATTGGATAAAATGTAGCTTATTTTCCCTATAACTGGAGCTGGAATACATCATTGCTCAAATAGCCTAATATGTTTAGCTGGTTAACTTAGAAATGCCTTTTGCTTGATTTCTTTTTGTGGATATTTAAATATTATTGCTAAGCGTTCCCAGTAAAGTAATTCACCTGTGATTTTAGGACATCAATTGTGGTCTTTTAGTTATTTTATCGGATGGTTCACGGCTGGAACTTCCATTGGGGGGCATTAATCAAGTTTTTCTCACAAGTCTCTCTTGGAGCGTAAGTACAAAAATGTTTGGTTGAAAATAATGAGTCAACAATATTGCTCATGTTCTTTCATAGTACAGGGTCAGTTTTCGCCAATTCCAGTATGTAGAACATGGCCCGCCGGCGATAATTTGTCCTCAAAGATTAACTTCGCATTTAATATATTTGAGTTTAGCCCAATTTCATCCAGTTTTCTTAATTGGTATTCACACAAGTGCACCTGCTGAAGGTTAGAAAGGCCCACTGAGGTGTGCCTTTTTTCTCAAGGGCGGTCATATAAGCCTTATCTTTGTTCATAATGAAGTGTCATCTTATGAGGACTAAGATGAGCATGGATTGCTAAGAATGCTTTAGCCAGTTGGGAAAAATTGATTCTAGGATACTATGAGTTTATATTTGAAATTATGGTTATGTACTTGTTTTAGATAATGCTCGCACAGTACTATCTATTAGTATTGGCCACTATTAGATTAAATCTCCTCATTATGACACGTGACTATTCTATTATTGAATATGGTTGATTTTTTTTAAAATAACATGAACGCCATGTGAATATTCATTTCTATATATTATTATCAATGTTAACAAGTAGGCAACTTATAACAATGGATGTATATAGTTCATTGTTGTGGTTGATTTCAGTTTCTGGTATCTCATTTGGTTCTATGATTGATGTAAACTAAAAGGAGAAGGAAAAATATTGTGTAAAAGAAGTGATTAGGAGACACAACTTCATTCATGGAAATCTGGTTTCTGTCATATAATATTGGTGAGTAATTCTTTTTAGATGTTGTGGTTGTATCTTATTCAGGTATTGATTGATTATTTTTAATATTTCAAATTTACTGTTTGGCATGATTTACTTTATTTAAAGTAGGTCCAGTTGACTGTGAAGTGGATGTTGTTCATACTGAACAATTGAATGGAAGAAGCTGCTGCAGGATGGAGCATGTCCGAGTCTTTAAACGACAACATCACTGAGGGGTCTATCTGTGAGTTTATGCTCCTCCCAAATGAAACCATTACTTACAAGGTTAAAGTTTGAGTAATGTTACTATTAATTGTTGTGCTTCAGAATTTTATGTTGTTAAGCAAATAATTTCGTAGTTTATGTTTTCTAGACTATTTGCAGCTTATTTAGAACTTACAATGTACTCTAAGTTATGTTTGCTGATTTTTTGCATGTCTAAGTTCAATTTTTTTGTCTATTTAGGAATCATTACAGTTATTGTTTTGAGGAAATTAACCGTTCATGACATTCCTCAGTGGTTAGGTTCAACAACTTAAAGTTCAAATATTAGGTTTTAATAAATGAAACAAATTATAATTTTTTCATTTTTGAATAACAAGCAATATTTTTAGTGAAAATTAAATAACGTATAAGAATACCTAATCAACGACTCTTTTAAGATATGATTCATCCTTTTATGTTTACTTTTGCATAGTGTGGACTGCTTTGTTGTTATAGATTTAAATTTTGCAAGATTTTCAGGCCTATTCAAACAGACTTTCAAGATATACATTATAGAGTATTTATCGAAGTCTGTTGATTAGTCTTAAAAATATTTAATAACGGTAATAAAAAAACAAATTATAAATTCAACTGGCTATTTTAACATTATGTCGGCATCTCTTAAAATTAAGATAAATGATAAAAACAAATACGGGACTTAACTGAGTCCGGTAGTGCGTATGTTTAACTGACACCAAAATCATTTTATGATAATGGGAATATGTCCATTGTTTGCTGGATATGCCTTCACCCACTTTTTTTTGTTAAACTTTAAAGGAGCTGAGTGAGTTTCGTAGCTTGATTTGATTAGACAATGCATGGTCGAACAACGAGCAAGTATTGCTTGTTTTTTTAGTTTTTATTTACTAAGGAAGAGATCTTTGGTTGTGAGGAAGATAAACATTTCTCGCTTGGGATCACCAATTGCTATAGAATATATGTTTTGTTGATTATGGTAAGAGTTAAGACTTTATGCGTAGATCAAAACTGTTGCACTACAATAGAATTTGCAAGTGCATTTGTTGTGTACTGCTATTGAAAAGATGTAGACTTTGGGAAATTGAAAAGTGTGTTATATCATATATATGATTTATTTCCAAGAGAATGTGCATTGTCACAATTAATACTTTTCAGTGGATATGTATCTCTTATTTAGACAATCTGAACATGTCATATCATTTTTTTTTTTTTTTAATATTTTATAATGATCAGAAGATGCAAATTGGTAGGGAACTATAACAAAAATTGTATAAGGGATATTTTTTATTTTTTGTATTTTGGACAAACTTTTATATGTATGTCGTTTTCCTATAAATGTAGAGGTTGGGGATTTAATTTTCTTTTACATTAGTTAATTGGGATTTGAATGTTGGTAGAGCAGTGCTGGTGATGTAAATCATCACTTTGACTATGCTTTATTCTTCTTCGAAATACACCTGCCAAATGCGATTGTCCTAAAACGTGATTTCTTCCATTGTATCACAGAAAAATCGACGCCGACAGCCATTCAGAAACCATCAAATATTCATGCTGAAATAAATCATAAAAATTAGAAGAAGGCCAAAGAAAAAATAAATTCCCTTGAGAAATAAAAGGAAAAGGCCACGAGTGATATGAAAGAAGCCCAGCTATAGGAAGCAAATGAGAAGCCGACTGATGGCAAGAAGCATGCAAAAGAAAATTTTGAGATTAAGAAGTTCTGTGTGGTCGATATGGAGCAAGCAAGCATCGAAGCAACTCACAAGAAAGAAGAGGAATAGTGAGAGCTTGATACCATGAGGAACCGGCAGTCGGTGGATACGATCTCCCTTTTAGTCGCCACTCGGGAAGTTCAGAAGGCAACATAGGAAGTCGAGATGATATGCGGCGCAAAGGACCAAACAATGTGCTATGCCGACGACTTGACGAAAACAGTCAAGGCCCATGCACAAAAAATTGAACTTCTTTCTGTCGAGCTGGCCCAATTGAGATTTGTACTCGACTTCTTACATTTCAACTGTATTAGTATAAATTCAAATGATTATTTCAAATAAATTCAAACTATACTTCAACTGATTATTTCAAATAACGACAAATTTTAACTTAATTATATACTAAGTTTGAGTCAGCTGTGCGTGCACAACTTTGAGGAACCATTACATTGTGTATATGTTTCCATAACTGCTCCCACCATTCTTTCACATCGAATTGGATCAGCATTATTTACCTTACAATCTTATTGATGGAGTTCCAATCTATAAACTTTACCCCTTTTGATCGCACAATGTTTAGGCATTGTGCGAATCCATGCTTGTGAACATATCCTTTATAGAATATGAGAGTTCATGTGGTATAACTTACCCATTTATAATTTTATTGTAGCACATCCAGAATTTAATGTCTGCAAAAACTTTTTTTTATGTATTGGAAATATGTGCCGACTATTATAGACAACATTTTTAACACATCAAAGTATTTTAAAAAAAAAGGCCCAATCACTTATGAATGCACTGCCCATGATATACAAATTATCATACTTATTTGTTAATTGTTAAGTGGCTATTAATCTTTTACTTTTCAACAAATCTTCTCAAATAGTGTTCAAACAATAAAATTTTGTTAACGATTTTATAAATTAGTAGATATCTTATTATATTATTGGATTGTTTGATTCTTTACTCACTGTTAACTTATTTGAAGCTAAATATATAAATGCCATAAAAGGTGGTTATGTATATTTTAAAATTTTGTCAAATATTAGTTATAATTATAGACTGGACTAGAGCCGGCTGTGCGTGCACAGCCACCGGACTAACTAGTATAAAACATAAAAAAATGGTTATACCTTCTTCTATCGCAAGTATTAGGAAACGTGCCATTTAAATAAAGATACTATATATATTATAAGAAGTATTTACACATTTATATAAAACATCTTATTTATTAATATTAAATATAAATTTGTTTATTAACACTAGTGTATTGGATGACTATTATAAAACTACTAGTATAATTAATATCAGCACTTTTTTTTTTTTTGTACAAAGAATGAGGTCAAAGGCCTAATGATGTCGGGGATACGACACCTCAATGATGTCGTGGTCAAGCTAAGTACTAAGGCCGATAGGGGGTGAGGTAATCCTCTGCAACCCAACCGGACAAGATGCCAAGCTCGCCAAGTGGTCAGCTGCAAAATTAGTTTCCCTATGCACATGCAATTTCCTGACGTTCCACTCACGCCCGATCAAACTACGAACGGCCCTAACCAAGGTGTCATGTGACCCAAACGTACCATTCGAGCTAAGCACCATTCGCGTCACGCACTGACTGTCAATCTCGGCAATCACTTGGCGGTACCCCTTGTCCTAAGCCTGCTGAAGCCCCTGAAATAGTCCCCAGAGCTCGGCGCCCGTAATGGTGCAGGCTTCAATATTCATAAGAAACCCTCGATCCATCCACCCGAATCATCTCGAAGCAAGCCACCCGCACTACTCAAGCCCGTGAGATTATCGAATGCACCATCAGTGTTCACCTTAATCCATCCTGGTTCTGGTGGGGTCCAAGAAATCATGCATGTAACATATAACGCGGCCCCCGCCGTCACGTACGCTGCTTCGGCACGTGCATAACTATCAACCAAGTTCACAATTTCCACCCGCCGTGCTTCACTGCATTGTTGAAGATCCTCTGGTTCCACCATTTCCATGCACGCCAAACCGTAATAGAGAGAGTGTTGCTCCAGTTCTGAAATTCGCCCAACCGTCTGTGTCGCTAGGTTCTTGTGTAACCAGTCCACTAGGGGTTGTTGGAAGAAAGCGACGTTATCATCTCCTGGGACGTTAATATCAACACTTTAAATACATAATTACATTTTAATCAATTGTTTTTGGTATGTATATTTTTATGTAGGTCTATAAAAAAAATACCATATTAAAATTTTCTAATTATTTGGTTTTGTAACTGTTTGGTTGATGGGGTGGGGTTGAAACTTGAACCGATGACCGGGACCAGACCGGAAATGTTGCTTCTGCGGGAGCCGGGTTTTAAAACATTAACAAAAAAGAAAAAAATTAAAAGATCTAAAGGCGTGTTGGATGCTACTCAACATTTTTCTTTTCTTTAAACGAGAGCCATATCATGATATCAATGCTGAACATCCAAACGCGGCCTAACACTCATCGCCACTGCCCAGGCTCCTTCCTCATAGGCTAAAACCTTCAGCTGAAAAATACTTTCAATCTCAATCGTCCTCTTGAACTCGGGAAGAAGTTCATAAAGATCAAGTGATCTCTCTGTTTCTTCTCATGTTTGAACCTGTGCTAATTTTTTTATAATCTCTTCGTGGTTTGAAAACCGTGAGCTAACTCCATTAATGGCGATTTTGGGTGCAGTTCAGAGCGCGGCCTTTGGGTTTGGACATGATAGAGATGACATGGATCAGCGCGTTGTTAATCGGGGCAGCTTGTTTCGTAATCGGGTGCCTAATCGGGTCACGGCGTTCGTCTCGTGGGTCTGTTCGTTCGTCGGATAATTCGAAAACCAACGACGGCGTCAGGAAGAAGACTGCTCGGAGCATACAGCTTCTCGAGGTCGAGAAACTTGCAGATATCATCGATGACTTTAAGATGGTAATGATTCGATTTCTGTTTCGAATGAGGCACAAATTCTTGCTTCTGTTGTCTTTTATAGTATGACATTCAATATGGAATTATGCATATTTGTTAAAAATGTATGGCTGCCAAACGGTTAGGCCTGATGGTAACCTTAATGAAGCTAAGGATGTAATTGGGATTTTGTGTGTAATTGAGCATTTTTATTGAGCAGGTGTAATTTTGGTGCAGGTTTTGGTTGTGAGGAATGACCTAAAAATGGGGAAAGGGAAGATTGCTGCCCAATGCAGGTAAGAATCGATTTGATGATTGCTTATTAGAATGGTGGAGAACTGAATGTGATCATGTGGTGGTTCTTCCGTGATTGAACCTTCAAATGAGATAGCCTTTGAAGAGTAATCTTGTATGGTTGCATTATAGTCTTTGAAGAATAATCTTGTGTTTTTTCAAGTAATGCGATTCTTTTTGTTGGTTGGATTACACATTGTATGAAAAAAAAGTAGGAAATTTGTGTGGATAGATTGTTTAATTATGAGAAGAATTTTTGGAAGTGGGTTTTATTTTTGGCAATCAAAATGACAGATATTTGTATCGTTTTCTCAACTTCCTGAAACTTGCTTATGTATTTGCGTCAAAACGTACGTGTAAGTAATGATTGTCCATCTGATGATTCTTTACGAATTTCCTGTTAAAATGTTTGAACAATGTATGTTCGTGTTTTATCATGTCGGCTTATGTTTATACATTGAAGATAGTCTCATAATCGGATTACTTGTGTTGGTGTTGTGTAGTCATGCCACTTTGGGGCTGTACAAGAAAATCCTTAACCGAGCACCAAAGTCCTTAAACAGGTATATATATATATATATATATATAAAAGGATGAGGTTCAAATGAGAACCAAGTGCTAGTGTGAGAACCGTGAGAACCGCTATTTTTAATTGTACGTAGTGCTATGATGATTGTGTTTTAATGCTATTTTTAATCATCATAACTAAAAATAGCAACACAATTTGTATTAGCATTTGTGAAAATAATAGCACAATGTAATATTAAAAATAGCATCATACATAATTAAAAATAGCATCATACATGATTAAAAATAGCATCAAATACGGTTCTCACAGTTCTCACACCAGAACTAGTTTTTATTTGAACCGGTCCCAATATATATATTTGTATGTTTACGAAGCAGAGTTATCATCCAGGTGGGAGATGTGCGGGCAGGTTAAGGTTGTCGTGAAAATCGAAAGTGAAGATGACATGCTTGTTTTACAGGTCAGACCTGCTTAATATGTGTTTGATTTAGTCTGTAAAAGCATTGCCTAAGATAAATCTTCGTCAGTTAAATCAATGGATGTAGCCTTGCAACTGCTCTAAGCCATCGGATTAGAGGAAAATGGAATTTAGAGGAATAATATTATTTAAACTGATCATTACCAACTATTTCATGCTTAAATTTCTGGATCTCTTGCAGCAAAACCTCTTGATAGTCAAATCAACATCATTTTGTCATTTATCAGAGCTGAAGTTAAATAGTTTCGAGCTTTGCTAAAATTTCCAACCCCACGGGTATTTTGACATGTTGATATCTTTATATGCTGCACGTCACTTTGAGATTTGAACTTCTATTATTATCACAAAGATCTTCCTTCACTTTGATGAAAAAATTTCAACTTTTCATTTGCTTGTTATAATATTTGTAAGATGTTTGCTCTATATAATTAAATAGAATTGGTCGTGCTCTAGACTAAAAGGAAGTATGTACAACATGCTATTCGCATGGTGTTCTCATTCTACTAATATCATTTTTACTTATATAGGAGAGGGCGAAATCTCTAAATTTACCAGCACATATTTCAATTGATGCCGGTAGAACACAGATTGCTCCAAGTGAGTGTCATTTTTTTTATTTTTTTTTTTCTGCAGCCTCATTATCACGACGTTTGCTCTGAGAGACAAATTTATTTTTTTTCTTACAACATTTTGATGTTTGAGCTGAATAGAGAAGTAACATGAAGCATGTATTGCCGGTTTTGGTGTTTTCAAACTTATCTTTTATTAGGGTTAAATTTACGAACGAAAAATCTTAAAATCTGGCACTTCTTTTATCGGCTAACAAATTTACATCCTGTTTTCCAGATTCAAGAACAGTAATGGCAATTTTAGGTAAGTTTTATTTCCGTATGTTGTAAACGAACTGAACCGAACTGAGCTTAAGCTGTTCGAGCTCATGTTCGTTTATGTTCGAACAGTGTTCGTGTTCATTCGTTTATTTTTCTAGCAAAAAATTGTGTTCGAGTTCGTTCGTTTAATTGTTCGTCAAAGTTCGAGTTCGTTTCGAATAATATAATGCATAAACTTTTTAAATATGTTTGATTAACTCGAAATTTGTTCGTTCGAACACGAAAATAAAAGAATAAAATAAAAATATTTTTATATTTTAGATTTTTTATTTAAAATATTATGTAAATATATAAAAAATAAATAAAATTATATTAAATTTCAGATTTTTTTTTATAATATCATGTAAATATATAAAAAATAATATAAAATTATATTAAATTAATGTTCGCGAACATAATCGCTCATTCACGAATGAGCTCGTGTTCGTTCGATTATTAAACGAGCCTAATTTTTTGTTCGAACTCGGCTCGATTAACAAACGAACGAGCTTTTGTTCGTTCGGTTCGTTTACAGCTCTACATACAACTGATATTTATCAAATTTACACATGCAATTAAGTTTCCGTTGGAAAGCTTCTTTTAAATCTGATTTTATGTTTCGACAGGTCCAGCTGATCTAGTCGACGATGTAACGGGTGGATCAAAGCTTTTATAATTGCATCATTATTTAGCTCGTTGTGTAACATCTACACAAGTTGCTAGAGATGAGAAAACACAGATATATAGCTGATTTTCGGCATGGTTTTGCAGCTATTGATGACGATGACGATGAATATAACTAGTGGACTCATTTTTTTGATATAAATTGTTGTTTTCTTCTCCTGAAATTCAGGCAATTGAAACTATCAGTAATGCTAAGGAGCCAACTGTTGGCTCCGTTATGGAGCCAACAGCCAATGGGATAACTCCATGTGGAGCTATCCCACATAGCTCTAATGTAGGACAGTCCCACATGGAATTGTCTCATTGGCTGTTGGCTCCATAACGGAGCCAACAGTTGGCTCCTTAGCATTATTGTTGAAACTCTATATAATGTGATCTGGCAGCATTGTTTTGTCGGGTTTAGTTAAATGATTAGTTTTACAGTTGTGTATAGATTTTCCAGTCCAATTGTGACCATCCCAACAAAAATGGTTAAAGCCAGAAATAGGGAAAAAAATAATAATATTAGAAATAAAAAAGGCTTAAAGCCCAAAAAATACTAAACGTGCCAAAAAAATAGAAGTAAAAATATCCGACCTGCCGGGTTCAAACCAGCGACCTAAGGATAAGCTGCGAGCTTATATAGCCAACTACAGTCCTCCGCTCTACCAACTGAGCTAGGTCGGTTTGTGATCAGGAAGTGGTAAATCTAATCTGTATTGCAAGCATAAAGACGCAACTAGTCATGAATTAGTAAGGGGGCGATTCGATATGAATTAAACCGGTAATAGTCCAACTTTGTAAGTTAAAGAGAGTATTAGATAAAGTAATTTTAAAATAAAATTATATTCAAAGTGTAATGGTTAAAGATTTATAGTTAATATAATGTAAAAGTGAAAAACAAATTATAAGAAGTAATAAGCAGTTAAATTATGTGAGAAAATAAATAGTAAATTAAAGACGATGTAATGTGTGAAAATAATTGATTGATATTATTTAATTATTATATTTATAAAAAATAAGAGTTAGGTTGAGTTGAATTTTGAATTAAGTGATTGAATATGGAATGACTCACTCCACTAATTATAACGATCATAACTCATATCACCTTTACATAACTTACATAACATGTTGAACATGTCGCCCTTGCTCCCACTGTCCCACATAATCAGACCATTGTAATTTATTACTTCAATATTTCTTGTTTCCAACAATAAATAAATATACCACCATCCATCAAGTCTATAAAATAAAAATCCTACATCAAGACAACACAAATCTCAACCAAACATCCCAAAATAAATTCCTACCTCTTATTGAGACCCAATCACCAAACCTTCAAACAANACAGCCTCACACAACAGAACACATGTAAGAATGCGCGCACAAACACACACACACACACACACACTCAGAGAACCAATCCCTTTGGAGAAGGAGGTTTCTTATCACCCGTGCCTGCCTTTGGCGATCCAGACGACGTCTGAATCTCAGCATAACCCTCGGACGAAGATTTTCCATGTTCGCCCTCGGCCATTTTCTCCATCGTCCTCTGGCTAACCTCCCCAGCAGCCTTAGTAACTCGGTTAAAAGCTCCGGTAACCCACGAAGCACCGGTCAAGACATATCGGTTTTTCATAATGGCCGAGCCAGCCGTGCTCACGGTCTGCTCAGCTGCTGCAAAGGCCGATTTCGTCTTTTCAGAGACTTGGAACTTCTGGTCAACTTCCTTGACTTTGTCGTTGACTATTGAAGCACCAATTGTGATTTTCTCACTCAAACCGATCTTTTGGTCCAACGAGGCCACTTTGGCTGTGGCGGTAGATATGACTTGGTGCTTCTCGTCAAAGGCTTTGGCTTTGTTTACGGCATCTTTTCCTAAGATGAAGCCCTTTGCCAGCATGCTGCTCACCACATCCTCAGCTTTTTGAACGGCTGACGAGGCAGTGCTGCCAGTGTTCTTGTCATCTGATGCCTTCTTTTTTTTAAA